GGGACTATAAACACCACCAGTTTATAGTCCCGGCATACTAGAAGCATTGTTAGCTCCTCTATTTCCCCGGTTTGCAATTACAAGATGATCAAGGTAACATGCTTCGGGGGAGAAAAAATATTGTGGGGCTCAAAGTTGGAAATGAGTTAAATGAATAAGATACAAAATGAATTAGGGGCACATGGACCCCCATCCATATACTAGTAGTAATGTGTCACATGTTTTTTCTTGAATGTGTCTTAAAAATGAGAAGTATGCTGGGTTTAATGGCGATGGATGTACGGTATCTCATTCGGATGACTCTATAAATATTCCCTTCTTTGCCAGGTATGTTCAGGGTTGACTCGATGGATTGAAATAAGCATAGGAAAATGTCCAGTGGATGACACAAATTAGTTTAGTATTTTTGTGAAGTTTTTTAAGTTTTGAGAACATAGAAATAAATAATAAATTATTGTGGTGTCAGAATAATAAACTGAATCAAAGTATAACAAGTAGTCCGACTCTTTGACAGGAGTACCTAACTCTAAATATGTGTTAGTAACAAAAATGTATTTGTATTGGTGCATTCTAAACACACAGAGTTTTATAAAAAATTACAATTGTACATTTGTTTGAATTTTCAATACCAAAAATTGAAACTCTATAAAATAAAATTCAACAACAACAAAAATTAAATGTCAATAATTAAACAATTTTTTTTCAGTTCAAGAAAATTAAAATTCTAAATCAAAAGTGCGTTAAAACTATTTAAAAAAATTTCAGTTTCTTGTGGATAACTGCAATTTCGCGTACGATCCTTGAAAGTGGCCAAAAAAGTAAGTTAAACATTTGAGTGTTTTGACAAGTTTAAATTTCTCACAAGAGAGTCGAATTCACACGGCACTCTTAGATGTGAGAGAGTAATTTCCTATATGTGAGAGTCGGACTACTTGTTATACTTTGAACTGAATTGTCGTTACCCAGCAAACACAGAAGGTTCGCGTAAGGTCGAGAAGATTATAAATCAACCTTTTTTATTTGAATGCAAATTTTAAATTCATTTATTTCTTTAAGTAACCGTTAATGATTAATATTAAATAAAATAAATAACATTTTTCAAACGTCTGATTTTGTGTTTGTTGGGTTATTTCATCTGTGGGGAATATACTAATACTACCATAAGTTGTTCTACTAATACATTCAGACGACTTAGGTTTTTGACAATAGACTTAGGTCCCTGACAGCAGAGTTTCCGCTCTATATACTCTATGGTACCTAGCTTGATAGATTGAGTTTTGTTTGATTTAAATCTTACATCGAAAGTGAGAGGGAATACTTCTGCAGGAAGTTTGTTCCGCATACGAACGGTGCGGCTGAAGAATGAATCTTCTCAGTAGTGTGTTGTTGGACACTGGCCAAATAGAGATTTTATGTTGATTTCTCCCCCTACGAGATGAACAAAATCGATTTTTCATACTGCTTCTATATACTCTATGGTACCTAGCTTGATAGATTGAGTTTTGTTTGATTTAAATCTTACATCGAAAGTGAGAGGGAATACTTCTGCAGGAAGTTTGTTCCGCATACGAACGGTGCGGCTGAAGAATGAATCTTCTCAGTAGTGTGTTGTTGGACACTGGCCAAATAGAGATTTTATGTTGATTTCTCCCCCTACGAGATGAACAAAATCGATTTTTCATACTGCAGAGATATTACTTGCGTGATCAAATTTTAAAATTTTACCAACATTATCGGAGAGCAAAAATTAATTTTAAACCGAATACTTTGTTGCAAACACGACAAGTTAATAAATGTTATGACCAGCTTTTCCAAAGGTTTTCTTGTACTCAAGCGTATGAAAAATATGTACAGATAACGAAGTTGAAGTTGACGAAATTCAGGTGGAAGATGAATTTAAAGATCCAAATTGGATACATGCAAAGTTTCCAAGTTCTTCTTTATCAGCTACAGTATTGCAAACTACTTGACAGATTAGACATATCTTCAAATTCAATGGCGAGACTTTTTTTGGAGTTAAAACATGAAAACAACGTAGATGGCTTCACGTCTTCCACATACATACATACATACATACATACATACATACATACATACATACATACATACATACATACATACATACATACATACATACATACATACATACATACATACATACATACATACATACATACATACATACATACATACATACATACATACATACATACATACATACATACATACATACATACATACATACATACATACATACATACATACATACATACCATACATACATACATACATACATACATACATACATACATACATACATACATACATACATACATACATACATACATACATACATACATACATACATACATACATACATACATACATACATACATACATACATACATACATACATACATACATACATACATACATACATACATACATACATACATACATACATACATACATACATACATACATACATACATACATACATACATACATACATACATACATACATACATACATATGTACATACATATGTACATACATGTATGTTTTGAAACGTATAAATAGTAAATGCCAGGAATGTCTAAAAAGGCTCCAAGAATTTCATCCGTACTAAATGGAATTCAAAAATTAATTTCATGCAACTTGGTAGAAAATGGTTCTGCTAAATCTTTAGCTATAGAATTTAATGCATCCACCAAATTTTATAAGAAACAAAAATGGATCTGTCAAACTCGGTAAAATTCGGTCCATAATAGACCCAAGATCCCATAGAGGAAATCGTCTTATCGCATATACATATTTCATAGAACTACCAACTTATATGTTATATTATTTCTAATAAATGAATTAAAGCAACAAAATGGAAGCACGTGAAGTAAAGAATTTTCTTTTTATAGCAATTTTATTTCACTGTTTAATTGATTCGTGGGCTCAATTAAACAAGTGTCCTAGTGTGATCGTGTGATTTTGTGTAGAAGAGTACGTACAAAAAAGTGAAACAGCTGTTTCCATCTTACTTTGTTCTTGTTTTATACCAATCGTGTAAACACAATGATTATAAATCATACGATTTTTATTCTCTTTTTTTCATACGGATGGAATTTAATTTTACTTTTTCATTAGACTTTACGTACGTAAAGTGCGATCGTGTAAAAGCCCCTTAACGGAGTATCGGGTAAATGAATACTAGGATAATGAAACACTAATTGCAATTGAAACAAGTAAGAAAGTATAGTCGGTCGTGGCCGACCATATGATACCCTACACCAGTTATGAATATTAAATGTGATTTATTTTTCATAATAAAGCATTTATCTTCAATATTCCCTTGTTCCGATACATTTAAGCAATTTATGGATGAAAAACTAATTTTCTGAAAGAGGCTTTATATGGGGCTAGGGGCAAATATGGACCAAGCCCGATAAAATTTTGTGAATATATTTGTATTTACATAATATTTTATTGTGCTAAATTTCATCGCGATATTTGTGTTTATAAGTTAATTTGGGATATTCAAGTAATTTTCTGAAGGGGACTTTGTATGGGAGCTAGGGTCAAATGGGGCCCGATCTTTATGAAATTTGGCAGGGTCATCCAGACTTCTATAAAACTTAGTAGTGCCGCATTTTATCGATATATCTGTAAATTTAACAAAATTATGAGCTCAAAAGCCCTTTTCGGGGGTTCTGTTCTATGGGGGCTAGATGAAATAATGGACCGATTTTAACCATTTTCAATAGGCTTCGTCCTTGGGTCAAATAAAACGTGCGTGCCAAATTTCATCCAATTATCTTGAAAATTGCGACCTGTACCTTGCGCACAAGGTTTACATGGACAGCCAGCCAGCCTGCCAGACGGACGGACATAGCTTAATCGACTCAGAAAACGATTCTAAGCCGATTGGTATACTTTAAGGTGGGTCTAGGACGAATATTTTTGTATGTTACAAACATCAGCACAAATCCAATATACCCTCCCCACTAAAGTGGTGTAGGGTATAAATATAATGTATTAGAAATCGCATAAACATAATGAGCAACACAGTTTTTTAAATAAATTAGAAAAATATTAATATGAAGCAATAACATATGTAAGTAAATTTTTATACCCTACACCACTATAGAGAGGATGTTATTATGCTTTGTGCTGATGTTTGTAAAGCTACGCGGTTGTTAGATCTTACAACGTTGGTAGTAAAATGTGCAGAAAATGTCTTACATCAGTGTCAACTTACAAATTTTGTCTTGCGACATTGTCAGTAATGCTTTTTCTGACATCGTTGCAAAAGAAAAATTGTTAGTTCACACGATTGTTAGACATCTTCTGAACATTTTACTGACAACGTTGTAAGATCTGACAAACGTGTATACCAGATTTAACAAACTAAAATGTTGGTTCTACACTTTCTGAGTTGATTATACCTTTGCCCCTTTTAACCCCTCTTTCAGAAAATCACTGTTTTTGTCAACAAATCGCTGAAACTACTTAAATATTAAAAATAATCCAAATTATTTACATACAACTCACTGGTGTAGGGTATCATATGGCGACCATGCCCGACTATACATTCCTGATTTATTAAAAAGTTTCCTTTTGCATTGTTTGCGAACACGCCCATAGCAAAAAAAGAAACTTAAAAATTACACTTTTAGTATATTTTTTATATTTTTTTAAGTTTTGAGACAATTCTTCTTTGGGATGATAATTATTCCCTAATTCATTTCATTTGCAGAAAAAGAAAAGAACTATAGAAAATTGTATATATTTTTTAAATATGTATGTACATAATATTTTTAAGAGATAAAAAATTCATTGCTGATTTAGTTTGAAAAAATTTAGCAAAAAGTGCTTTATGTATGTTAAATTTCTGCACAAACATTTCTTAAATTGATATAACGTTTAAAAATGAAACATTTTTCTATCCAACTGTGCATTACAGATTCGTGTACACTTATCAAGTATCAAGATAATACGTCCGTTAAAAATATTTAAAATTTTTTTTCTTGTAGTTTTTTATTTGTATTTACATAAACATTACTTTTTATATTATTTTGTTTTATGATAATTCATGCAAAAAAAGGCATTAAATTTTCCACATTCTATTCCAAACTGTCCTGCCACTTTAAATGAAATTCCTTTTCGAATACCATTCGATCATACAGACGAATTTCTGATATACGCGCCGATATATCGAGATGTAATTCCCGAATGGCTAAGTGGAAATTTTGTTTTGCGACATTTTGTTTCTCTGTCGAAAGTTTATTTAATGGCCGACGAAATGCTGTCAATATTCGTTCCAAATGATATTCGATACTGGGACAACGACCAATGCATACCAACAGATTTTCTTCGTTTCGAATGTTTCCTGGAAAACGTCGACGCATATCGAATGGTGCTTTCCCACTAAGTAATGCTCGAACTTCACTCACAATATTGGCATGTGATTGTACATCGGTTACACTGATGGCTTTAAATTCGTATTTATCACAAAACGCCATTAAATCACCAATACAGCACCAGGGCTGAGAGGCCAACAAGGCATGATGACTATTCCAGTTAGAGTAACGGCCAATGGGTTCAGACAGAAAACTGCTTTCCCTTATAAATCCAGGTGTTGGCAATATATCTACTGATGGCTGCGGCGATGGTACTTTTAAATTAGTTGGCTCTCTCGAAGCACTTTTTCTATTTTCATCAATCGATTCTTTTTCCGGAGATATTGCTAAGAATTGTTGATATCGCTGCAGATGTGGATAATTGTAGGAAGTATCTTCTTCTGGTTGCGAAGTTTGCTCTTTAAATGCCACAGTTTTAGGAGTTGTGGTTCCAATGGATTTTCTATAATCCATTAGTTTTTTCTTATAATCAACTCGTGACGCCATTAATAATACACTTAACTATGTATCTATAAATTTATTTTCGAAACTAGTCAATGACCGACCTCAAATAATTTCTGTAGTAATATTTACCGGAATAGGAAATTCTAAATATTTTTTATGCAATTCTCTTCAGACAGATTGTGTCGTTGCCGATGCTGCCGTTGTTGATTTTGTTAATGTACGTTTATAAAGATTACAAATCAAACTAATTCGATTGAAAATTGATTGTGGTATACGTATATGTTTGTATTTACATATATTTTTCTTCACTGTTTATTTTTATCAACCGATCAGCGAAATTTTGGCGCTAATACAATTGTCTCGACGCTATTGTTTATAAGTACATTAGGAGAGTCAAGTTTGTGTAGAGACAAAAAAAAATTGGCGATATTCCTGACAAAAATGAATACACTGGTCTACATGTTTTTGATGCCGCCAAAACTAAAACTGTTTTTAATTGCATTCGTGTTAAAGAACTATACAAAAATCCAATTTGATTTGTTTTATATACATACATATGTATGTATAGGCAATTTCATGTCAATTGACCCAACTTAAAAAATTGATTTGGATGAAATTTGCTCCAATGTTAGTACTATTAAATAGTAGGCCAGACACATTTCAGCTAAATCGTTCAAGAACTGCCGGAGTTAGAGGAGGTCAAAGTTGGACATTTTGGTCATGCAGGGTTTTCACCCATTGGTCCTATCAAAAATTGTCCAAAGAACTTTAGATAGCTATTTCTTCAGAGTTTAAAAAAAAATAATTTAAAAAAAATTTTTTAAAATGAGCCCTTTGTTTGCTCAAAAGAAAGCTTATACAATTTCCTTTAAGGGCTTTATAGCTTTTATAAAAAAATATTTTAGCTCTATAACTTAGCTTTCTGAAATAAAAAGTTTGTTCATTTACTTTCCCAGTAAACACTTGTAACGAAAGAGTAAATCAAAATTTACGAAATAACTCTCAAAATTAGTAAAAAATTAGCAGGTTATTACAAATTAACCCTGCCAGCGAATTTGAGTTTAATTTTGGATAAATGAACTAAATTTACACTATTTAGGCTCAACTTCATGTTTCTCAGTGCTAAATAAAAATATTTACAAAAACAAAATACATAATTTTCTAATTTTTATCCCATTTTTGTAAAATTTAAGTTCGATCTAATATACCAAAAAGAAACGTAGATGATAATAATTAGATAGAATAAAAATGTATAAAAAGAACACTTTTTAATACACTAACAAGATAATTTAAGGCAGAATTATTTTTGCTCTCAAAATTAAAAAAAAAAAACTGTTTTTATATTTCAGTAAATATGTATATTAAGTTTATAGTTTTCAGTTGTGTGAATAGTAACACATTGTGAAATTTTGTAATGATTTTATTTAAAATTTAATATATAAAAAATAAATTTATTATATAATAAACATAAGTGAGAGATTAGTGAGTATAAACAATTTTAAATTATTCATAAAGTAATAGAAATAAAGAAAATGTATTATAAAGTCGCTTTTACTACATAAAATAGTGTAAAATTAGATAAATTTCCAGTTTCCCTATTGCTATGGCAAAACTGGAAATTTTAGTAATTTTACGCGCTTTTATGCTATAAAAAAGTGACTTAAAACTGAAACGAAATCGACTCAATAAGTAAGTATTAAACAGGAGGAACTGTTTCTTACCAACGCGGTCTCTTTTCTTCCTTTCAAATTGTGCAATATTATATATTTTTTAGATATTTTTACCTACACGTTGTTACGTTATGGATACTATTTAGATAGCAATTGTTTGCAGGGAAAACGAATCTAATTGTATACTAATATGTCAATAGGGAAATTTAGTGAAGAGCATAGAACTAGCATCCGATTCACGTCAGTATTATTCCTATCCTATTGTAAAATTAAATGCACATTTATTTCATTTTGTTTTTTCATTATTTTTTTCTTTCATTTATTTTACCCATCTCAACTTCGCTTACAATGTCGGTAGGATTGGACTAATCTGAACACTAACATTCGACGCAATTATTATTAAATGTGATGTGGCTTAATCACGAAAGATATGAGTTGGGCACTCATTCGATTCCCAGCCGCTGCTGGGATATAATTTTGATTTTACGTTTCATATGTACTCACCCGACCTTCGCATACAATGTCGGTAGAGTTGGACCAATCGGAATTGAATACAATGTTTGGATTAGTCGCACCTACATTGTCTTTGGTCTCTAATGGCATATGTATGTATGTACGCTGGATAGTAAAAACATTCAAGAAAACATAAACATGATTTCTAAACCTTCTATATGTTTATAATTTTTTTAAATTACTATTAAAGTTTCCAAAAAAAATAGTAAATTTTGTCTTTTAAAAATAAAAATTTGTCCTTTATTATTTATTTGTCTCAATACTTTCTTATATTCTTGATAAGTTCTCTGTATATTACCTTCCTCGCATTCTCTATTTCCATTCATCTCCGTAGCCTTTGGATATGGTAATATTTTCAGTATTACTCTGTTGGTAGACATCAGGATGTCTGTAAAGATTAACATTTTTAGCACCTTTCGATCTCAATGTGTCTTCGTTCTTAAAAATTTTGTCTCTGTTCTACATTTTTGTAACGTAAAAATAAATTTTTATGTTAGTGACAACAAAAGTGATTTATTTGCTCAAATATTTTTTATTCTTAGAAAATAAAACCATTAATAAAATTTTGATATTGATAAACAAATAATAAGCCTATAATAACTATTGTGCTGTTTTATGTGTAACTTGGCAGAGCTGTAATTTTATGTGTTAGTGTTGCGTACAATTAGGATATAATATTCGTTGATTCAGTTTTTTTAATTTCATATTTTTTTGTTTATAATAGATTTTTGACAATAAAAACGAACTTTTAAGAAAAATAAATATATATGGGGAATTTCATATCAAGTGACCCAACTTTAAAAATCGATGTCTTCAACATTAAAAATCGTCCTCTTAGAGGCAATGGTCTAAGCTTTCTTTTGAGCAAAAAAATATTTTGAAAAATAAGGGTAAAATTACGTGCCAAATATTGAAAAAATATATTCTTGAGTTAAAAAATATTTTTTTTATGGATATCCCACTCGCATTATGGGACTATAAAGCCCTTTAAGGAATAGTTTTTATAAATACAGCGAGTAGTGACCGAGTTTTGTAATATTTAACATTTTATAATTTATTTTTATATGACAAAAATTTAAAACAAAATTCCAAATAATAAAGAAACATGAAAAACATGTCGAAACAAAGTGTTTTCCGAGAATTTTGGGTTACTTCTACATTACATGATAGTTAACTTGTAGTTAGTCTTTAAAAGTATGTTATTTATGTTGTCAAGTGCCAAATTTTGGAACATTTCTGTCAAATTCATAATAATTGAGAACAAGACAAAATATGTCGAAATAAAATTCTCTCCCGATAATTTTGGGACACAAAATCTTCGGGGTACAAATCTTGTATAATTCTATCAAATGTTTTCGAGAAGTTTTCTATTTAAACCCTGCAAACTTCCGAAAAAACCGTGATTTTTCTAGAATTTTTAACATGTATATATCGGATGCTATATTCGATATTTATAGTTATACAAAAGCAATATCTATGTATATGAAAAGAAAGATTTCGAAAGACCCTTCATTTGATATGCAATATTTCTAGGAAAAGATTTATATTTTATATATTCGAAAATATGGGATTTTGGGGATTTTGCTCATATCTTAACCATTTATGTACAAAATTTGGATTTTTTAAAGTTTGAAAGAAAGACAATAGAAATATAAAAAAACCCAAAATCTTTTTTACAAAATTTGGTAAAAACTGGAATATTAAACTGAATATCGAAAAAATTGAGAAATATTTATGTATTTTTTAAACGGATTGTCGTGTTTATGTACTCAATTTGGACCTCATTAACATATCCCCATAGTATCTCTTTAAAGATTTGATTTTACCCAAAAAGTCAACATCACAGTTTTTTCGCTTTATTTTTTGAAAATTTTTCTATGAGTTTCTTATTTATTAAAATATTTATATATTTTGAAAAGTAGACATAATTGCATAAAATTTTATTGGACTGTTTGGCATTTGCATTTATAATATTTTAAGTTTTGAATGTGTATGTTCATTTCGCATGCTTCTGTTGTTCATTTTCAAACCTTTTATTTTCCAGCAAATCCTTAACAGTTACGCCAACAACCTTTTTCGATCGTTTCATAATTTGGTAAATATTTTTTTTATTATAAGATGAAAATTCCGTAGTCTATTATATTTAACTGCTAAATGTGCAATAGAATCGCCGTTTCCTAAAACGTTATAATCCAAAACGTTTATATCATGTTCCTTCATAAACAGCAACATAATTTCGAATAATTCATTATAACGGCCAAACATGGCTTCATGTAACACTGTATAACCATCGTGATTGTAAGGTCTCATCATCTTTACTAAATCAGCTTCTACGTCTTTCGAATGCTGTGAATATATTTTGAATAATTTTTGAATTTCCAAAACACAACCATTATTTCTAGCAGATAGAGCAACGTGTAACGGTGTTCTCCCCCAGCGATCTTGCTCATTAATGTGACATCCCATTTCTATAAGAGGAAGTATGCCTCTGCAGAGGTTCATTCTACATCCCCAGTGTAAACGATTTTCTAGATTATTAAATTGCTAAGAAGTCGTAAGAGTGGATCTTCAGTTTGTAAAATACATTAAATTGTGGAATTAAAATCACATTCAATTGTGTAAGAGGTTGCACATTAAATTGTGTGGTTGAGATAACATTAAATTGTGAAATCGAATTGTGCATGGACATATAACATTGGAAAGAATAATTTTTTTGGAAAACAAAGATGTCGGTGCGATGTTATAGATAAATCTTTAATGAGTGTGGAGTGGGAAAAATGGTTTCAGTCATTCAAACTATATTTGGCTTCGGAAGAAATAGATTATCCAATCAAAAAGAATTTGGGAGGACCACAACTTCAAAAAGTTATTTTTAATATACCTGGTGCTTTAGTCGAACACGATCCAAATTCTGATGTCGATGTTTTCGCCATATTGGTAACAAAGTTGGATGAATATTTTTCCCATAAGAGAAATTCCACATTTGAGAGACATTTATATAGAGACATTTATCGAGCTAAGAAAGAAACTGTTAGAGAAATAACAGAGTCTAGATGATGTAATTGAAGCTTGTCAAGTATACGAACAAGTTATGCAAA